AATTATATTTGGTAAATAAGGAACCATTTTAAACCAGATTATTGCAGTAATTATGACAGCATTTTAATAAGATAACATAGTCATTTAACACAGCCTTTATTTTCCGTTTCAAAACAAAATTTCCAGGAAACAAAACAAAATACTTAACAATGGTTGAGTACAAATGAAATAAAAATCACAGTTTCAGAGAACCAAAATCAGACTATTGCTGAAAGGCAGATCACTTGGTTTACCCCCCCCCAAAAGTTAATGTCAAAAAGGACTAAAATTAAATTTAACAACATTCTATATAATGCTACATTCCCCAATTAAGAAAGGAGAGTTCACATATACAACTAAATGTTAAGTGTAGAAAAGTGGCTGAAATTCTGCGTACTTCAGAGTAAACTATGCATGAAAGTTTATCAGTTGCATAAACTTCCTGAGTGGCTCCCATGCTGCATTAGGTCTACATGCTTAATATTCATATCAAACAAATTATAACTTTAGGTGATTGAGCATGAAAGACCTTAAAGAACTGTACTTTCTGATTAGTCACTATATCTGCCGAGGTTATGTGCTGGACCACGAATCTTAATCTCAAATCTTAATGTCAAATCTTAACTTATAGCACTAAAGAAATGCAATTTAAAAAAATCTAGAAGGATGATAAACTGATATTTAGGAATTTATTTCACAATGGCACTTTTTTTTTTTTTTGTCTCACAGCCCAGTTTCTTTCTTCCTTTTTTTTTTTTACTTTTAACCCTTTAGTTGCTTTTTTTTTAATTAAAGGAAAACCTTCCAGAATTGGACCTGTTCATTTATACACTCTTCCAGCTATCTCAGCTAAAACTAATTTTGGTGTAACTTGTTACTGCCTCAGACCCCTTTCTAAATTGGCTATCAAGGTCTCTGACCAATGTTTGTGTCCATTTTTCTTATAAAGATTATTTCCAGTGTGACCTAAAAGCACTTGGCTCCATACAATTTTCATACTAATTTCAATTCAGAAGAATTTTAGCAGGTTTGAATGTTTACATTTTCTAATATGTAGCTAAAAATTTAAACCTAGAAGTTACATTCACCAAATCAATGGCCTTTTCTACACACTCTTTTTCTAGGAGCCCACAATAAGCTACAGATTAAAAAGAAAAAACACTCTTCCAGAAAAATGGCCCAGATACAACCTCAAATGGCTCAATTATTTTCTGAACCAAATGGAAGTATGAAGTAATTGAATCCCAAACTGATGGAAAGTATGCCTCAGGAATGTATTTATGCACTATGACTGAAATACAGTTTTACAAATATTAAATATGCTATAGTGTTACACAGTAAACGTGTGAAACAAGGAACATCTGGTTACAAACATTTGCTGAGTTTTTGGGGGATGCATTTTCACTGCTTGAAGAATACAGCAAAGAAGAAAGTTAATGCCTCTATAAATTTTAGAAATTAGATAATTATACAAAACCCTCACCACCAAGTACAACTCAACTTAAATGCATTCAGCCATTTTAAGGTAGCAAAATATCACTGAAAAGACCTAGAAGTATGCTAGTACATTGAATGACAGATCATTGCTCTAGTGTTTGTCAAATATTTCACTGTAGTAGTTAAAGCAATTTCAAACCATAGCCCTTTAGGCACAGAGATGAGAATGCATCTCTAATAAAAAAATATGCAAAGTTACAGGCACTGGACTGTCTAATTTAGGTACATTTTAACCATCTGTTTATTTTAGAACTAAATCCTACAATTAAGTCCTATATTGCAACCAGTTAGTTTATTTCTGTGCTTGCCATTCCCAAATATCCTTAATTTACTTTACATAGGCACCTAGCTCTCATCACTTAAACATAAATTGATGGCAAAGTGATGTCCCTGTTAAGTCAAGCTCATGTTTAATGCTGGGACAAAGAGGAAAGCCAGATTTATAATATGAAAGAATACTGAGAATCAAGGCAAAAAAGCAAGTTTCACAGGCAGTGTTTACTTGTGCATCCAAAACAGCACTGAAAATGAGGTAGATAAACAAAAATAACTGGACTGGAATTAAATTTGGAGTTCTAAAATGATAAATCTACACTCAATCCAAAATTCACAGCAGAAAAGTGCCTTTTAAATGTTCACAGATAAATTTGCTGTCAAACTGTAAGAACTCATGCTTGATATAAAACTAGCAACAAAGGGATAAAAACAGAAAAATATACATATGGTTATTTTAATTAGACTTACACCAACACTGGTTTAATATTTTTATGATGTTATACCCAACTTCACAGACATAGCAGCAGGTACTTCATGATGCAATGTACACATTGCCACATATGAAGATACAGTACTGTTCATCAGACTTGCACTTTGAGAAGTAAACATGGTGTCTGGACATACAGAGTATTCCCCCAAAATAAATTTCATAAACATGATGGGTAAAGTACAAGCATTTTCTCTCCTACAAGAAAATTAAAAGGATAGTTTTGTGTGTTTTTGGAAATGAGTAGAAGGCCCTTTTACATAGTAGGCCCTGTCAAGTAAGAAAGGAATTTCTGAGCTTTATCTCAGGAATTATTTGTTTTGGGGGATGAAAAATACCTAAGGCAAGATGAAAACAGCACTATTATATGACTTAGGAAAAGTATGAAATAATGCAAAACCCCTAGGTAGAAAACTAGCCAATACTCAGCTCAAATCTGAATGAAATATTTAAGTAATGGAAAATGTAACCCCCCCACAGCAATATTAATAACTTGGTTTTCTTCATTTCTGCACAAACTCACATTTTTCTGTATTTTTAAATGTATACATGTTATATATACATAATGTATACATAACATATATGCTAACCCAGCTACTGCTGTCAGCATGGAGACAGCAGTATACTATTCACCATCTTCAAACTTTAGAAGAGTACTTTTCTTTCCAGTAAAAACCTGAAAAGATTCTCAGTATTACAAGGCACTGCAAAAGTCTGCAGGCAAACAAGAATGAGGAATTATATGTAAACAAGTGATGACAAAATTTAGAACGTATGATGTAGAGCAGCCATTATTAAATGTAATTAATTGTACATGTCATCCATAGAGCTTTTCATCCTGGGGTATACTGTTTTTAAAGATTGTAACTAGAGAAAAAGGTCATAAAACCTGTAGTGTTTTCACCATATTGGATATATATCTCAGTGTAGTTATATAAAGCCAACTCTTATAATGAAATACAAATTTAAAGAACTATGGGTTTTAGGAGTATTTTTGTGTACATCAAAGAACCACAAAATAAGGATGTGCATTACACTAATGTCCTAAAATCACTTCAACTTGCAAACCAACAATGTAGATGAAAATTATTCCACATGTAAAATTTGGGAAGACTCATTCAAAATAAAGGATATTTTATGAAAAAAAATGCCTCTTATCAATAGTGACTGTCAAAATGCTGCCCAATGAATGTTACAAAGTAGACTGTGCAAAACAAAAAAGAAGTACACCCATTAAGTTTTCCTCATTACCTGGCCATCCTGTGCGATATAATTTTTAGAGGAACATGGAGGAAAATCTGTTAGCAATGTTGAGCAACAATTTGAAATATTCACTAGAAGACAGAACTCCCAATTAGGTAAACATGTTCTGGAAAAAACCTTGAAATCTTCACAAAGTTGGACAATAAGTAGCTTGAACATGTATATGTATGTGGTAGCCAAAAAATACCATTTAAGAATTCTATTTGGGTTTCACAGACTGAGAACTAGGTAACCTTGTGAATAGCATTTAAGAGTATTCAGTTAACCTTTTAGAAAACCAAAGGTGTACATTTTGACATTGCCTCCTTTCCTCCTAAAACTGGATAAAACCCAGTAAAGTGCAACTTGACAGTGATCTCTCTTGATTCTAAAGAGGCTGCCAAACTCAATCTATGATCTAAAATCATCTAAGACACTATAAACTAATAAGGAATTATAACCAAAAAAAGGTAACCCAAAAAAGCTACAGGCAACTTAAATAGTATCTTTCTAGGTTCCACTATCTCACTGCAGGGGTACATACCCCACATTTCTTAGAACCCTGTAAAGCCAGTGTTTTTTTTTTTGTGTCAATCTCAAAACTTTACAAAACCCACTGTGTCAAGTATATTTCATTGCAGAAAAACGGATCAACAGAGGTGTAACTTGAATCCCCTTTGTCAGGCATGTAAGGACACCTCCCAAATGAGATTCATGCTAGTTGCAGTATACCCCTGGAAAAAGAATGCAAGCTAAACAACACTTCTCAGATGCTCAAAAGCAATGTAATGTGCACATGAGAAACAAGATATAGCTGCTTTGAATTATTACCAAAATTCTAAAGCAAGCTACCATATCTGTAGAATCAAGGAACTGTTACAGTTCTGTTTTTTTCCTTTTCCTCACTCAAAACAAGGCTTCACTCTTTCTGCTGTGATGACAGGAAGAAAATCACATTAAAAAGGACTCATGTATTAGTTGACAGTTATTCTAGTTTCATACACCAAAAACATTTCCTGTAGTAAGTTACTCTGCCTGCTGTGAAAGGTAAACTGAAGATACTCATGTGAAGAATCCCAGAAGACCCCATCTATTAGAGGGTCTCACTTCATCCATGTTTGGGGAGAATCACTCTAAGTAATTTTTACATATTTTAAAGAAAAGTATCATCCAGCTGCAGATAGCAACAGTTAATAATGGGGGCTTCTCAGCAGTGCATGGGAAGTATCCTGGAAATGGTAAAGCTCAAGCTGAGCTTATTAAAGCATTCTGAACAGTATTCTTTAAAAAAAAATCAAGTATCAAAGAGGATAGGATTTGAAGTGAAAAAACATTTTGGTGTGTAGTGTTCTATGTGCAAACCGGAAATTTCTACAGAATGTTGAACTATATAAAATACCACACTGGAACAACAAAATAGTTGAAAGTAAATTCAAATGAGAGAAAATGTAGAACTCAAGAAGAAGAAACTTTAAGATCTCAGTTATTCTGAAAATAATTGTGAAAAAAAAACTTTTCTTCATTCTCTACACTCTGATTCACTTGGGACCAGGAGGGATTGTAGGTGGATTCTGCACTGGAGCTGGAAAGGCCTGTAAAGTCAACCCTTGTTGGAATGGTCCCCCAGGCTGGGCAGGAATTACTACAGACTGCTGTGTTGTTCCTGAAATTCCTACCCACTGTACTGGATACCCTGTGCCCCCCATAGCATTATACTGACAAACATGGGGCATTCCGTATGATGATAATGGCCCAGGAAATGAAGGGAGTGGGAGTCCTTGTGGCAAGGAAGTTGGGACAGCTCCACGGATTTGGGAGAGAGAAGAAATCCATGTTGGTGTGTAGCCCATAGTAGATGGAGTATTCTAACAAAAACAAAAATAAAAACAAAAGATCAGTTTATTTAATATATGCTTCTATCAATTTAATTCCTTCCCCTTCTTTTTGGCTTAGTAATTCTCATTATTATTATGAGCTACAATTTCAAAAGCAAATTTCTGTGTGCTAAGCATTTCAGTTCATTTTCGTAACTACCTTGCCTTGCTTTGTAGGCATTTTCAGAGGGGAAAACAGAAGTTCAAAACTTGGTAGCTAACCCAATAGCACTAAGCAAGTTAATATGACAAAAGGATTTGAACATAGTTCTAACCAATTCCAAGACCATTACTAAATTTCTATTTATATTTTACTTTCTCCTAGTGTTAACAGTAGTCTTCTCATTTTACTTCTTTCTACAAGTTCTTGGAATGCTCTCATATAGTGCCATACACTGAATAACCCTTAATACACAATTTTTGGTACAGAGAAGTGTGACTTATTGTACCACTGTGAAAAGAAACTGGAATGTAGTAGGTATTCACTGTTTATTTTCTTCTACTCACTACCTTAAAGTCTGACATCTGTTACATTCTTAGAAAATTAAACTAAAGATGAGACAATTTTTTGGCAGCACTGAGAAAATTTATTCCTGTGTGATTCATCTTATAGTGTATAATACCTATGTATAAATTATAACAATCTCATGTACATAGAAATATCTCTAATGAATGCAAACAATCCTCTTGTCATCTCAAATGCTTAGTTCTTTTAATATTCTAAACTGAATTGTCAGGTATAAACTAAACTTTCAAATTAAGTTAGGGTAAAGGTTTTTAACTTGACCCCAAAATGAATGACAGTATTTCTTGAAGTGAAAAAACATTTAAAGTTGAACAATCTGTTCTTCATATCAGTGTTTTTTTTTCTGTTAAAGTAAAACTAAATTTAATACTTCTTATTCAAAACAGCACATAGATTATGATCACATTTTTATACAGTTTATTTTTCTACATGCTCATATATAAACATAGAAAGTAATTTTTTGTTTGTTTGTATTGTGTATTTTAGGGAAGGGTCTACAGGGTGTTCAGGGTCTCACCACTAGATTGGACTCATAGTGATCTACCTGTTCACAGCCTCCCAAGAGCTAGGATTACAGGCGCACACCACCATGCTCAGTCTCAATGGCCATCTCAGTGCGCCCCATGGGTGGGGCCAGCATGGCAGACCTGGGGATTGAACCCTTGGCCCCTGCGCCTGCTTGCAGGCACTTTACTCCACTAAACTATTTTGCCAGCGCCACCGAAAGTAATATTTCTCTAAAGGTGATGACAACTATTTCTGGCTGAAAGAATTTGAAAATATTTTATAATTTGTACTTGTTTGTACTAATTAAATTCTATAATGGGCATTTTTATTTTATCAACAATACTTCTGAAAACAATTTTTATTTTTAGAAAGACTGAATTAGAAAGATTATAAATCACCTCTTGAGTATTTCAAGGGATCTCCAATTTAAATGCTCAAAACCAAATATGCAATCTTCTCTTACCAAAACAGTTTGGCCAGATGCTCCATCTCATTGACTGCAATAGTATCCAGTTACACAAGGCAGAAACCTTGCCTTGACATCTCCCCTCTGTCATACAGCCATTCCATCACCAAATCTTGTCAGTTAACATTTCTTTTTCTTTTTTTTTTTTTAAATTTT